CAAAAAAAAAAAAAAAAAAGAATTTACAAGGAAATCGGAATAATTAAAAGAACCTATTAAAATATTTACTTACCTCATGCTTCGGGCGCTTGAAAAACCTTCTCCCATCATTTAAAGGAGTCCACATTATGAAATAATTGACAGCAAGTCCACAACGACATCTCCTATTCGACCCCTTTTGAGCTACTCTAACATTGTGACATTGTCTTAAAGAAATCTCTAAAACAAACTGAGAAAGATGAAAAGGAATTAAACCTAAACTAGAACCCACCTCGAAATCGACAAGGTGACCCAATTAGTGGGAGAAACCAGACATCAAGAAGGTCTTGGGATGAAAAAGGGGGAAGAAAAGGGCATGGTAATTGGATGAATTAACCTAACGGCTATATTAGGTAAAGATTGGGGGTGGAGCAGGGGTGCGGTAAGGAAAAAAGAGGGGTGAGGGTATTTTTTTTAAATTCATGTGGATTTTTTAATTAGGTTTTGAATTTTTAAAATGCAAAATTTTATTTCACGTAGTTTTATGAGTCTTCTGTTAGTGATGGAGTACATATACGAACCCATTTATTCACGGCAAGGATATATTAAAGGCCAACTTTTAACGGAGGGCTAGCCTGTCTTATTTCATATAGCAAAAGAGCATTTTAGGCCCTTTTTTGTATATACAAAAATTATACAAAACTTTTTCGACTATCGAGTGTAAATAGTTTCTGGCGCGGGCTAAAAGTGAAAAAAATCCCTAATAATATTATTAATCAATAGAGGTGACATTTTGATCCCGAACCCATTTAACCTGTCCAACCCATCCAAGGTTGGGCTGGCCAGTGACCCGACCATTTGTTGAACCCAGTCCATCTCAATCCATGGGCTTATTTTTAGCCCAAATTGATTCATGAGTAACTTTACTAAAATATCTTAAAAATAATATTTTTTGTTCAATATGTTATATATGACAATAACAAAAGAAAAAAAGTCTTATGTGATAATTAAATAATTCATAAGAAAATAACACACAATAACTAAAGCTTGATAAGAGTTTGGCTGGTTGGGCTTTAAACTAAATTTTATCCCATCTTAACCCATGTCATCTCAGCCCAAAAAACTTTTGGACGGTCAACAACGTGTTCATTAATTAACTCAGCTCATTGTGACCCGCCCAAAATCAGCCCAACCAGCCTATTTGATACCCCTATTAATCAATATGGATCATAGAGAAAACATTACTTTACTCTTTGTGCTTTATGTACTCATTGATGTATTTTAATGTCGCAGGAAGCTCAGAGGGTCAGCCGATTGCTAAAGTGATTGCTTTGTCTGTGGCCATTCCAATCAGCCTTTTACTACTGTTAATATTTGGCTTATCATTGAGGATATATTGTAATAAAAGAAGGGAAGCCAGCAGCTGAAAATATTGATTCTTCTTTGTGGATTGTGAATTGATCACCTGCCTCAATATGGATGACATTTGGACAATAAGCCATTAGCATTATGGTTTTATTTTTTTTTAGTTTAGTTTTTGTTCTCGGTTTTGTGAGTGTTTGAATTTTATTTTGGGATAACTATATTTTATGTCTTTTTAGAGAGAATTGGTTTTTGTTTTGTTGTAAACAAAACTGCTTTCACAATAAGAGAATTTTGCTCTTGTTCCTATCTTGTTTCATTGTTATTAGCTCTATATATCTTAATGTCTAAGGATTGTCAATGACACCAGGTCAAAGAAAGTAACTATTAAGCATATGATCTAAATTATAGAAATGTTCAATTTGTTCCAATGAACTAACAAGGCATTGCACCTTTGGAGGAAAAGAAAGAAAAGAGAAAGCCAAGTTGACCCGAGCTAAATGTACATATATCAAGAGGCGGATTTAGAATTTTAAGTTGTGGATACTGAACCCACAACCCTTTTTGGTTACTAGGTTCGGGGTATATTTTTTATACATATTAAGTAAATTTCTTAACACAAATATAAGATCTAAGCCAAAGTTATAACTGATTTTTGCTGAACTCGTAACTTATACGGTAGATTCGCCCTGGTCATGACTTGATTTAAAATTTTTATTTTTACATACTTAAGTATAAACTTTATCCTCAATTTAATAAGTATCAAAATCTTTTTAAAAAGTTGCAAAATTTCGAGATTGAAGTTGATTTTTACTAAAATCAAATCTATTCCAATTCGAGTTCAAGAATTAAATACTCTGAATTCAATAGCACAAAATAGTGATTTTGATTGTGGTGATGGTGAAAGTTAAAAGCATAAGTTTCTAAGATTGTTGGATTTTTTTTATTAAACAATTATTACATCAGCGGAAGGAACATGTTCTGAGTTACAAAGACTGTGTATATATGAATGTTTCAATCTTCATTATAAAATAAACATTTAAACCCTCTAAAACTCTTGACTTTGGAAAGTCCTCTTGCACGATCCAAGAGGAAATGTGAGTGGATAAAAGTTGATCAAATAATCAAGAAAAGGAATACATACCTTGCGTTTTAAATTCCAAATTGCATTATATCTTGCTATAGAAAGGGCAGCCCGCTGCACTAATTAAGCTCCCGTTATGCGCGGGATTCGGGAAAGAGGCGGATCATAAAGATTTATTGTACACAGTCTTACATTTTTGCAAGAGGCTGTTTTCACGGCTCGAACACGTGACCAGGGACGGAGCCAATGAAGAAGTTATGGGTTCATCCGAACCCATTAATTTGGGCTTAGACCCTATATATGTATTAAAAGATCCAGCTAATTAAGTGCAAAAATAGATTTTGAACCCAGTAAATTAGACGCGATGTGGTAGAATTTCGAATTTGAACCCATAAAATTTAAATCTTGGATCCGCCTCTGCATGTGACCTCCTGGTCTTATGGCAACTGTAATATGGCCAAATTTTCATGACATTTGCCATGAAATAATATCCATTATAACAAATTTATGGTTTATGACATTTGCCATGACATAATATCCATTATAACAAATTTGTGGATCATGACATTTGCCATGATATAATATCCATTATTAGGCCAAGAATTTCTTGCAGTAAATAGAGGAGTTTCTCCTCATTTGAAAACACACCAATTCAAGAGCTTTTCACTCTTGTTTTTCTTTTTCTTCCTTTATTTCATTATAGAGTATTTTGTAAGAGAGTTAGTGTTGGAAAACACTTGTGTGAACCCAGTCTTTGGAGTGATCTTGTGAGGTTATTCTTTTGGGGTATTTGGGATTAATTAAAGTATTTACTCTAATTTTGTACTCTTGTTGGTATAGTAAAATTGCTCCTCTCCGCCTGTGGACGTAGGTCACCTTGACCGAACCACGTTAAATTTGTGTCTTCTTTATCTTCTTTAATTGTTGTTATTATCAACTTTTATTGTCTTTATTATTTTCATTATACCGTTGTTTGGCTAAATTTCGCACTACCTGGGTTCCCAATCCTAACAGCAACAACTTTACCAATTGCGCCAATACTTGTACTAAAGCTCAGCCAAAGGCATAGGGGAAAAGCTTAAAACCCTATATATGAAAAGCACAGTAGAAAACAGACTTTACCTAAAGCAAAAACTCTCCACTTTTCGTATGGCTGAAGGTACCTCTATATTTACTCATCTTGATACTTTTGATTCTCTTCTTATGGATTTAAGTAACATAAATGCTGAAATCAAAGATGAGGATCAAGCTGTGTTATTGCTTGTTTCCTTACCCGAGTCGTTTAAACATATAAGAGATACTATGCTTTATGGAAAGGATAATATCTCTTATAAAGATATCAAATCTATTTTGAAATCAAAAGAACAAATAGATAGATATATTACTGGGGAAACTAGTGGGAACCAAGGGGAAGGTTTATTCATAAGAGATAGATCCAATAAGAAAGATTCAAGTAGTGAGAAACTTAAATCAAGTTCAAAATCCAGATACAGAAATGTCATGTGCAAATGTTGTCATAAGAAATGTCATATTATTTCTGAGTGCTTTAAATTGAAAAACAAAGAAAAACATACAAAAAACAAAAATGAGCATAAAAATACTAACACTGCCGAAGCAAGTGTAGCTGCTGATGAGACTGAGGGAACTATTTTTTTAGCAACTAATAATAATTTCAAATCTAACAATGAATGGATTTTAGATTCGGGTTGTTCTTATCATATGTGTCCCAGTCGAGATTTATTTACCATATATGAATCTATTGGAGGTGGAGTTGTCTTGATGGGCAACAATGCTGCCTGCAAAGTTATTGGAAAAGGTACAGTCCGAATCAAAATGCATGATGATGTGGTGAGAACTCTCACAGATATTAGACATGTTCCTGACTTGAAGAAAAATCTCATCTCTTTGGGCACTCTAGAATCTCTTGGGTGCAAGTACACAGGTGAAGGTGGAGTTCTGAAAATTTCTCATGGTGCTCTTGTGATCATGAAAGCACGCAGATCTGGTACGTTGTATACTCTTTTGGGATCTACTGTTACAGGTGCTGCTGCGGTTTCAATATCAGATAAATCAAATTTTGACATCACCAAATTGTGGCATATGCGATTGGGGCATATGAGTGAAAAAAATCTTTCCATCCTCAGTAAAAGAGGTCTCTTATGTGGTCAAAGTACCGAAAATATAAAGTTTTGTGAACATTATGTGTTCGGGAAGCAGAAAAGAGTCAGCTTCAAATCTCCAGCGATTCATAGAACAAAAGTTACTTTGGATTACATTCATTCAGATCTTTGGGGTCCTTCACGTACCCCATCAAAAGGTGGTGCCAGGTATATGTTAACTTTCATTGATGATTATTCAAGGAAAGTTTGCGTTTATTTCCTGAAAATAAAAGTGATGTTTTCTTAAATTTCAAACAATGGAAAGTTTTGATTGAGAAGCAAACAGGAAAACAGGTTAAGCGATTTAGAACAGATAATGACTTGGAATTTTGTAATGATGAATTCAATGAATTTTGCAAGAATGAAGGAATTGCTCGACATCGTACTGTGAGAATGACACCTTGACCGAACCATGTTAAATTTGTGTTTTCTTTATCTTCTTTAATTGCCGTTATTATCAACTTTCATTGTCTTTGTTATTGTCGTTATACCATTGTTTGGCTAAATTCCGCACTACCCGGGTTCCCGATCCTAACAGCAACAACTTTACCAATTGCGCCAAGGCTCACCTTCAATATATCTTGCTATACTTGTACTAATTATTTCTCTAAACAGACTTTGTTATAGACTTGTGATGGATGTCCTGAAAGTGCTTCTCATCCATCTTTTCTTTCCATTTCTATTTGTTCATACCAAAAACTATTGCCCAGTTTCATATTGTCCTATGTTCAATTTCTCTATAAGGTTCCCATTCTACATAGAAAACCAACATTCACAAAATTGTGGCTATCCTGGATTTAGTATCAAATGCAACAGCCAAGGATATGCAGTTCTTAATCTTCCTTTTTCTGGAGATTTTTTAGTCCAAAGCATACATTATTACAAATCAGGAATTGAACTCTATGATCCTGATAATTGCCTAGCGCGTCAACTAATGAACTTGAACCTTTCTTCTTCTATTTTTAAAGCTGATGAGATGGTGAATTATACTATCGTTAGTTGTCCATCGGATTATCCATTAAACGTGACATCCCACGTCGTTAAATGCCTCAGCAACTCCACAACAAATTTATTAGCATTTAGAATATTTGGTAAGGATTATGAAAAATTAATGTTCGAGTGTAATGTAATTGCTAGAAATTTTTCTTTGGCATCATATTTATTAGAAGAAGAAGATGTTGATCGGTTTGGTTTTATAAGCTTGACATGGGACGTGCCTGATTGTACAGCTTGTGAAGATAAATTACAGTTTTGTGGATTTGAAAGCTCTATGAACAAAGAAATTCGTTGTCTTACAGGTAAAGATTCTTGTTCTGCTCATGATCTTGTTTTCGTGATAGACGAATTTTGTTTTGCTTTATCACACGAAAAAACAGGGTAATTTGGATCGTAACTTTTGCTTTATTTGGATAATTAGGTCAAGTTTTCCTATTAATTGGACTCTAATTAGGTGAGATTTTTCACGGAAGAAGTTTTTCCCTTCTTTCATCTTTTATTCGCTATGGGAGTGTGAATGGAGTTGGATTTGTAAATGGAGGCGGACCTATGCTTGGAGAAGAGGGGTCACCTCAGTAAAAATTCTGAAGTATAAGGGTAGATATGTTGAAAACGATAATATATATTTTGCTTGGAGCCTTTACAATCAAAAGTCCGATAGGGGGCACTATTTGAGCAGTTCGCTCATGTGCCCCAGTTATCTTCAAATACTGGGTACGCCTCCGTTTGCAAAAGTCGGGTTTCTGGACGCATGCACCAAAATAATGTTTTCAATTTTACTTATAGTCGCTTAATTTTACTTAGTACAACGGTAAAATTGCAACAC